ATATTTCAGAGATGCCTTTCTAACAGAGTGAAAAGAGTCTGTAAACACAGTATCTCAAACGTGTACACATTAATTGTACTTACATGCATGTATAATTAGCCATTAGCACAAACAGAGCTCTAAAAGAATGTTTTATTGGTTGTAAAGTTTGCATCATTTGTGGAGGAAAAAACAATCCTTAGGCAACTCCAGTACTGCAGCTGGATAATGCACATTTCAAACCACAAAAAGTAGGAGTACCACCATCATTCCACGTCAATCATAACCCAGCCTAAAGAGAGAAATACCCATAGCATGTTGTGGTCTGATTTTGTTCACATTTTTTTCTAACATTGGGACAGACAAAATGTATAATTTATTAAAAAAGGTGAGGACCCAAGCTTTGTCTATGTCTAATGTCTTATCTATAATGTACTACTGTAGGTTAGCCATTCTAATATCTTCCTCTTACAGTGGCTTTGCAGAAATCAAGACATAATGCATTATTTAGAGTGTGTGACTTTTTTGTCTTTATTCTGTGTGTGTAGTTCTCAGTGATGTTTTTTTTAAGCCTATTTTACATTTCCCTGAATCCAAATGAGATGTTTGTGTGCATATCGTATCGTCTCAGATTTTAATAAGGGAAACTTGAGCCAGGAATTACCCAAATACAGACAGTTTATCAAATGCCCGACCAGAGAGGAGAACACTCTGGATCACTGTTACACCACCGTGCGCGGAGCTTTTCGCGCTGTTCCCAAGCCAGCCCTCGGCTTCTCAGATCACTCCATGATACATCTGGTTCCTGCTTACAGACAGAGACTAAAGCTCTCGAAACCTGCAGTGAGGAGCTCCAAAGTGTGGTCTGATGAAGCTGTGGAAGAGCTGCGCGCATGCATGGAATCTACAGACTGGGGACCTTTTCAGAGCTGCCACAGACAGCTTGGATGAATATACGGACACTGTGACGTCATACATCCACTTCTGTGAGGATAGCATCATTCCAACAAGGACCAGGGTCATCTATAACAACGACAAACCCTGGTTCACTGCTAAACTCCGGCAGCTCAGGAAAGCAAAGGAGTCTGCTTTCAGGGAGGGGGACCGCAGCGGCTACAAAGCAGCTAAATATCAGTTCAGGAAAGAACTGAAAGCAGCCAAGTCCCGGCACAGAGAACGACTACAGGAGCAGTTTGGTAACAACGATACTGCTTCTGTCTGGAGGGGCCTACGGGAGATCACCAACTACAAACCCAAAGCCCCCCCCTGTGCTGATGACCACAAGCTAGCTGACGATCTGAACTTATTTTTCAGTCGCTTTGATGCTGCCCCTGACACCTCTCCCTCCCCCACCCCCCCTACTCTAACGACCCACCCATCAGCCCTGCCCCCAGCCTAACAATAGCCGCTAAAGAGATTAAACAACTCTTCCTGAGGCTGCACCCCCGCAAAGCTCCTGGCCCGGACCACGTGTCTCCGGCCACTCTGAGACACTGCGCCAGTGAGCTTACTCCTGTGTTCACGGCCATTTTCAACTCCTCTCTGCAGTCCTGCCATGTCCCGGCCTGCTTCAAATCCTCCATCATTGTCCCCGTCCCGAAGAAGCCCAGGATCACAGGACTCAATGACTACAGACCTGTAGCACTTACGTCTGTCGTCATGAAGTCATTTGAACGCCTGGTTCTCTCCCATCTCAAGTCCCTCACCTCCCCCCTCCTGGACCCCCTGCAGTTCGCCTACAGAGCCAACAGATCTGTAGACGACGCCATTAACCTGGCCCTCCACCACATCCTACAGCACCTGGACTCCCCGGGGACCTACGCCAGGGTCCTGTTCGTGGACTTCAGCTCTGCCTTCAACACAATCCTGCCATCCCTGCTCCAGGACAAGCTCTCCCAGCTCAACGTGCCCGATTCCACCTGCAGGTGGATCACTGACTTCCTGACGGACAGGAAGCAGCGAGTGCGTCTGGGGAAGAATGTCTCGGACTCTCGGATTATAAATACAGGAGCCCCACAGGGCTGTGTTCTTTCTCCCCTGCTCTTCTCCCTGTACACCAACCACTGCACCTCCAGCCACGACTCCGTGAAGCTGATCAAGTTCGCGGACGACACCACCCTCATTGGACTCATCTCCAACAACGATGAGTCCGCCTACAGGAGGGAGGTGGACCGGCTGGTGTCCTGGTGCAGTGGTAACAACCTGGAGCTGAACGCCCAGAAGACAGTGGAGATGATTGTGGACTTCAGGAAGAGCACTGTCCCCCCGCCCCCACCCTCCGTGATGGACTCCCCCATCACCTCTGTGGAGTCCTTCCGTTTCCTGGGCACCACCATCACCCAGGACCTCAAGTGGGAGCCGACCATCAGCTCCCTCATCAAGAAGGCCCAGCAGAGGATGTACTTCCTGCGGCAGCTCAGGAAAGCCAAGCTGCCTGCACAGATGTTGGTGCAGTTCTACACGGCCATCATCGAGTCCATCCTCACCTCCTCCATCACCGTGTGGTTCGCTGGAGCCACAGTCAGGGACAAACAGAGACTACAGCGCATTGTGCGCTCTGCAGAGGAAGTGATCGGCCGCAGCCTTCCATCGCTGCAGGACCTGTACGTCGCCCGAGCTCGAGGCCGGGCTGGTCGTATCACAGCCGACCCCTCTCACCCTGCACATGGACTATTCCAACCAATCCCCTCAGGCAGGAGGCTGCGGTCCATCAGGACTAGAACCTCCCGCCACAAGAACAGTTTCTTCCCCTCTGCTGTTGGACTCTTGAACACTTCTTAACCTGTCCCCCCGCCCTTTATAAAGTCACTTTACTGCCCATCATACGTCACTTTACTTCACTGTACTGCTGTCACCTTACATTGTGTGCACCATGTGCACTTGTATATTGTAAATAGTAACTGTAACTCTATTTTAAATTTAAATTTATTCTTTAGAAGTGTTTTTTATTCTTATTTTTATTATCTCTTTTTGACTGTTGCACTGAGCCAAAGCAATTTCCAAGTCTGTGACCTCCCGTTACTTACGTTGGCAATAAAAATGATTCTGATTCTGATTCTGATATTTTATTAATCGCTCGCCTGCAGTCATGTAGATTGAGCCAAACAAGTCAAAGTGGCTGTTCGGGATGACTGGGCCGTGCTGAAGGCATGGCTCTACACAGGCCCTAGGCAGGAATACATCGGGAGCTGAAATATGCATGCCTGAAGGACGAAACACAATGTCCTCGCTCATATAAACAGAGGAGTTTGAGTGATAGATCCAGAAATGTGTCCAACAAATGGAAGTGTAAGTAAAATAGTTTCTGATAGCATTACTCCAGTGGCCATTACTCCTATACACTCACATTCTCCGGTGTTCCCTGTGTTTTTTTATATCTAAGATTGCGTTCTGAAGTGAGCCAGCTGGCAACAATGACTACTTTTGGGATTTTCAGTCTGGTTTGTTTATTTCAAGTAGGAGAGGTACTCATATGCCATCTATCATTTACACTGAAATTTAAGACAAGAGGTCCGTGCAATACTTGCCTCTGGGCAGAATGGGACTGCTGGGTTGTCCAAATCATAGACTGTACTGTATATAGACAGACAATGCTGACCAGCTAGCCTCAATGAAGCGCATTAAGGAAGTGTGTTTTGCTTCTACTCAATCTGACTTCTATTGACTCACATTGGAAAGTCAATGTCCTCACCATTTTGGGCTCAAACAAATCTGTGGGTCGGAGCTTTCTGTGATCCTGGCGTCTATATTTCCATCTTTGTAAATACAGACAACACAGCAACCATCTTTGCAACATGTCTGCCCTGATTACGGAGCAAAGCTAACACAATCGGAAAAAATGTCCATATAGGGAAATTGCCACCAGTTAGCTTATGTTCTTCTGCATTCAGCAAACACTATGGAGGATAAAAGTACATGGTCAGTCCACTCCTAGTTAGGGGTGTGACGATATATAGATTTTTCGATATATCGCAATACTTTCTCCCGCGATTCGATTATCGATATGCAATTGCTAAGTATCGATATCAATAAAAAATAAAAATAAAGTGTATTTCTTTTTTTTTTTTTTTACAAATTATTTTTTAAAATTTGTATCAATACTTAATATATGGCTACATTACGTATCTCCATTCAATTTATCTTGAAATAAAGTATTTTTTCTTTTATTTATGCCATAAATTGGCATATTGTATATTTCTGACCAATATATTGATAATCGTCATATCGTGATAAAATCGTTATTGTGATATCGTTATCGTGATAATATCGTTATCGTGAGCTTTGTATCGTGTATCGTATCGTATCGTGAGGTACCCTTAGGTTCCCACTCCTAGTACAGTCTCTGTGCCAAAAACAGATCTGATACACACAGAACACTGTTGTACTACTTTTAACATAATGGACACTATCCCTACCAAAATTTCACTGTGATCATCGGGATCCCCATTTCCACCAAAAGACAAACAATTAACAGGGTTGAATTAAAGTACTGAAAAAAGTTGGACGAAGCTTAATTGATTCCAACACCACAAATACACACACACCAGATTCAAGAGACAGGCCAAAACTCTCTGACCCTACACCCATCCTATAAACTTCCATGCATAGGTTGCAGAATGATGGCTACATGGTCAAAGTTTGCGTACATATCTTTTCATAAATAGTACCCTTTCTTGAAAAATAAACATTTTGTGAATAATTCAGACAACACTGACTTAAATATCAAAGGCACAAAAATACATGCCTGTGAAAACTGGTGGTAGAATCCAAGCATTTTGAGAGTTAGAAACCAATTGGATGCATTTCATCTCATTGATCTTTTGAATAATTGGCCCCTCTTCTTTTCTTTTTCATTCTTCATTGCAAGTCAAATTCTCCTTTCAACTCCCTACTCTATAGTAGCAGACTCCTCATCAATCCCACAGTGCACCTTGACATTCACAGCCCTTGATAACACAACGCTTCTCAAACAATTCCGTGGCAGCAAGTGACATCTGAAGTCCCCCAGAACAAAGACACACATGACTGCCGAGCTGAAGGCGGGTGGCTGTCCCTCGGTGGTCCCACGGTTCCCCCCTCACCAAGAGCGCTACGGTGTGATGGATGAAGCACAAAGCACCCAGGCCCGACACATGCAGAGAGCTCCATGTGTGCGCCTCAGTGGGGGGTGCGGGGGTTCTGAGGAGGCTGGCAGGGCGGGCTGGGGGGCCGCTCAAACAGGGCACATGACGATCAAGAGATGGCACAATGAAACAGTAATGCGTTTGTCTACAGCTGAGGAATGTGTGGATGTGGATGGAAATAGATCAAACAGATGTCAGAAGGAGTTGGCCATTGTAGAAAGGGCGGGTTTTTTTGGTACAATTCATACACATAAGGCTTTACAAAACAAGAAAAAGCAAGCTACGGTATCTTGATTTTCCTTGGTTTGTAAATCGTTGTGAAGGTGAATCAAGCAAAGACAGATATGAACAATTGTCAAAAAGTTGTATTGTTAGAATCAATGCAGTACATCTGTGAAAGAATTTGCTCAAAAAAACGACTTGGTAAAGAGCAAATTGTAAGCCTTCCAAGTATGTTTGAACGGCTTACAATTTGCAAATTATACTTCCAATTTTACTAATCATATATGATGCAAAATTAACTTTGCATAATAAGTTGTTACCTTGTCAAAAACAGACCAGGAGTTATTTTTAGATCCAACCATCAAGAACTCCTACATATCTACAGTATCTCGGCCACTTCTGTCTAAAAGCTCCCGTCTCAGGCCTGTAATAGTATGATGTCATTGTACCACTGTGACATAACACTCAGAGCAGTTTTCTGCCTTAGAAAACAAAAGTATTGCTCATAAATTAGTTTTGGCAATGTCTCAGGTGAAGTTCATGAGTGCAAATTCTACACAATTGAATAATAAAGTAAATTGTTATAATGTAGCTTTTAATGGCCAAAAATCATAAATAATATTTTGACTTTAAAATCACCATTTTAATCACAGTATAATAACCACTATCAGTCTCTAAGCACAGAAAGGATTTTAATATAGTCTTTATACAGACCCATCTCACTTTTCAAGACGAAGAACTTGTATAGCATGCTAACTGCAAAATATCACACATCAGATACGTGCGTGAGATGTATGTATTTGTTTGTACTTGTTGTCAATGTGATGATCAATATTGACCTTTAACATTTTCATATAAAAAATTTGAGAATAAAATAACACATTTCTGAAGGTTTTCTCAATAAAAACTGATGCACAGAAGCATAGAAAAGTTACAAAAAAGACTTTTAGTATTGATCCGTGGCTTTCGTCGTTTATTCACAACTACACAAACAGTCTTCAGATAAAAAAATAATAATAAAGTCTCCATAAAAGAGTGAAATTCCCCAATCTTTGAAAATCTTCCTTGGCCCTTCAATGACCTTCTCCCCAAATGTCAAAGAATTGCACTTAACTTGGACAATCAAAACCTTTTGATCCCAGAAGGCAATTCCAACCGAAAAATGTGTAACCTATTTTCAAAGTGTTTTACTCAATGTCATAAATGTCATGTTCTGAGAATAAAACTGTTGTGTGAACTAACTGAATCAACAGCTGAAGTCACTTACATTTGGCATTTCCCGTTAGAAGTTGATTCAAGCTAACTCAAACTGGCTCCATGGGCGGGAGTCAGATAAAAATCACCTAGAATCAAAGAGCCAATCAGGAGAGGCTTGAGTATGCTCCTGATCGCACTACTTTCTATCTGAAACAGAATTCGAGCATAGAACTCACGTTGGTCAGTTTTAGGGGTCCTTTCTGGATTTACAAAGACACGATCAAATAAAAATACCAGGAGCATATACAGTAATCCGTTGACCCATGGATTGTGAAACCCAGGTGCTACGTTTCATTAAAATCAAAACCAAGTAGGAGCAAATCTTCACTCATGAGCACTTTCCTAAATTTCAATATTATTGCGTTTAGCTTCATATACAGTATACAGTAGGTGCCTGTATGTGCGTAACAATGTGTATGTGAGCGAGTTGATTTGTATGTACTACATGGCTGATACTACGTCCCGGTGTGTGCGTGTGTATTTGTGTGTGTGTGTATATGCGTATGTATTTGTGCGTGTGTGTATAGGACATATATTTGGCAATCCTTTAATCTATGTTTATTGAATGTTCTTGTATACTTCTGTTGTGTGTGCTTTTGCATGCTGTTATTTTATGTAATATAAGGGTAAAAACACTGTCCATTCCAAGTCTATGCCGACAACAAGTTCACAAATGCCACTGTTCTGACTAACTTATGCAATTGATTTTATGCTGTGGCAAGGAACTTTTTTCCCTTGAAAGATATAGCATTGAATTAAGTTACTGCTGCAATGTGACCCTGACAAGGATCTTTGCATGAGAAAGCAGACTTTTAATGACTTTATGGAGAGTTGGTACTCTGAGTTTAAACAAAGGCATGCTTGCACATATTGTTCCTTCTCAGTGGAAATGTCGTTCAGTCCACAGTGTTCTTCATGTTAACTTTCAGTATTTATAGTCGTAATTAGTGTTGCAAAGACACCAAGAGTGGCCTTTACAACATCAACACAGATTTTTATAGCATGTATAATTTTGTATGATAACCTTTTAAATAAAAAATGCGCCTAATAGTATTTAATAGAACCTTCAATTATGCAAGTATCTTTAAGCAAGACATCTCGCCCACTTTACATACTGTATGTAAAGTGGGCGAGATGTCTTGCCTAAAGATACTTCACATAATTTAAGTGGGGCATGTGAGTCTTTGATTTGTGACATTCACGTTTTGAGAAATTTGAAATTTACCAATATTAAAACACATTCCAAAAAACAACAATTATTGTTAGTTATTTCACCACAAACATCTCAAACAGAAACATTGCTGACTGGTCTATAGCTAAAACATATTAGGTGCAACCATCCAGTTGTAAATAATGTTCTCAATAAAACACACCAACTTATATATGGCCGTTAAAATCTGCCATTTTGCCACTTGGCAAACATCACAGGCCACAAAAAATGCATTAAAAAATCTGACAATCTCTATTAGCAAGCTGTATATGGCTGCAAATGATATATTCATGGAGGAGCTCAGAGTTGGAATTAGGTCCTTTCTCAAGATACTTTTCTGGAATGTTTTTGTTATAGTTGCGGAAGCAGTAAAGTAAAAGTTGTGTTCATTTTTTTATTTATTTTTTGGCAGTAGCACTCACAATCCAAACAATGCCAATGATCCATCGCCGATAGCTGGCTACATGCTGTCAACCCAAGATCCGGTGATCCAAATACGCATGTGTGGCTCTCATAGCGGGGCTTGGCCGAATTCCGACCAATCAGCGGCTGGTGATCAGAGAGGGGCTAGAACAGGAGCCAAACGAGCAGAGTTTGTTGCATTAAAGTGTAAATTTATAGAAAAACAAAAGATTTAACAAGAAAAAAAGTTCAGGACCACAAGGGACAGTAAAATCCCCACAAAGTCCGACCTGTATGAAAGCTGTAGGTTCTCTGTCAGCTGATGCCGAGCTGTTTTAGTTTACATTGAGTTCTACGGGATATGTTTCTGGGTAGCCCACGTGAAGTATTTAGTCTGCAGTACCACGGGCGCCCCCTTTGCCCATTGGTGGGGCAGCTATAAGCTAGTAATACCCTGTCCAGATATTATTATAGATCCATGTGCTACCCCCACAAGGCGCAAAGCATTATGGTATTGCAGAAGCAGTGAGTGGGGAAAACTGTTTTTTGCATCAATCTGAACGTTTGTCATCACATTCTAGACTCTGAAAAACACCAATATGCACAAACAAATTAAATAGTATACTTATAGCAGCTGTGTCTAAGGTAAAGGGTAGTTTTCCTATAGCCCCACCCAATCTCCTGTCTCCATGGTAGCAGCTGGCCCGAATTCCTGAGGGTGGAGAAGACAAGGTCACGGCTCTGATTGATGCACGCTCCACCACAGCCGGAGGACGGGCTCTGCACCCATCTCCTGAGGAAGTGTAGGCTCCCATGGGAGCCATTGAACGCACCCCTGCACTTCCTGATGCAGCTGTCCAAAACGGAAAGATCCACTCCTGCTTTTCTGTGCAGCGTAAACACAAAGCAAAGTTGCAGGAAGTTTTGATGGGGATATTTTTTTTTGGGTTGAAACCAACATATGTTAGCTCTATGTTATACCTTTTGCGCCTTTGTTTCCCCATTTGTCTGCCTATACCTGTATGTCTAAATATTTGTCTATATTTCTCATTGATGTAGGTTTGTACATTAGCAGTGCAGGGTCTGGTTAGTACTGCAATGGGAGACCACTGGGAGGGGCCTAAGTGGCATGACTGGCGTGTGTGTGTGTGTGATATAAATTGTAAAGCTTCTTCATTCGTGATATGTAGGTCTAAAGAGAGTCAGGGCTAAACATGTCGAGGCAGCACTATGGATTTACGCAGCCAAAACCTGAAACAGTCATCCTGAAAATATAGTGTCTAATTTATAATCGTATCGCTAGGCACACACCTGTGTATGCTGTGCTAAACAAATAAAATGGCCTTGCAGTTAATTATGCATGGCTTTATTATTCAAACTGTATCTATGGAGAACTTTACAATAATGTTGTTTATGTGTCGAGTTCAGAATGTTGTAGCTTGAAGGTTAGCAAATAATCAAGTCAAAACAAAGAAATACCACCCCCGTCTACACAATATGAAACATGTAGCTACAATTATTCTGAGTTAACTCAATTGCTTTTATAAATGTCCAATCTCTTCCGCTGTTGGTATAGTATTAGTATTATTAATGCTGGTAGCGTTTCCATATTCAGACAAAGACCGAGGTGAGAAAAGTGTTGTTACTTTGTCATATCGTGCAGATAAAATGGTGGAAAAAGCACATTAATACGATCTTTTCTTCTCCACAAAGTTCATTTTTGGAGATGTTTTTTTTTGCACCACTGATGAAAGACACATAATTGAAGAACCCATTGTAAATTCTTGATTCAAATCTGTCATTGGTTCAACCTTTCTCCAAAAAAAGTGACTGATAGATGGACCACATTAGAGATTGTGTCAAGGTAATTAATCAGCCCCAAACTTATCTCCTAGACTCTTTTTTCTGGCTTATTATCTGTTAAGTTAAAATATGTCTTCAAAGGTGCACATTAACAACATTTATGGTGAAAAATTAGTCACATGTTTTTTTTTCCTTCTTTTCTAAATCATGACCTATAAGGCGATAACAATGTCTATATGTGGCACGTGGAGGGCACTAATTCAAATGACTATTATAACATTCTGAAAACATGGACAAAGTTTGAGACACGCAGGTTCAATACGCAGGGGTTATGCCCACAAAAATAACCCGCAAAAGCAGCTGTATTTTTTAAGTGAAAGCCCTCACCTCACACTTTATACACTTTTGTAACCACCTGCACTCACGATTGCTGAAGTGCGATCCAACCTGTTCGTTGTGTGGTGTCTGTGTGCTGCTACAGCTGTCAAAAGCCGTGTATAGACTGTAAAAGCTGCACTGCGCTGAAATGAAAGGTGCTATTTTTGTTACTGAATATTATTATTAAGATAATAAATTGAGAAAATCAGCTAAATTATACCCAACAATAACCCCGTTGAGAGCCTCAAGTTGAATAATCTGCTTAAAGATTGTAAACATGAGTAATTATGGACATGATGTTGCCATGTTATACTGTACATCTACATCATTGTATTTTTTTATTAACTTTTAATTAATATTGTGTTAAGAAAAAGTCACTTATGATTTGTACATGTCAACCTATTATCCAAGGACACATACAAAACATGTATAGATGCAATCTAAAAATAAAAGGGACACTGCTTACCCACGTACATATTAATAATAATAATGCATCAGTTTTATATAGTGCTTTTTTGGACACTAAAAGACGCTTCACATGTTAAAATTCATATTCTAAACCAACAACTACTGACCTGAGGCACATTGACAGAAGCGAGGCAACTAGTATGTGCCATCGGCCCCTCCGACCACCACCATCTATTCACACAACAGCAGCTTGGCCTAGTATTCACAGAGGTCTCCCATCAGAGTACTAACCAGTCCCTTTACTGCTTAGCTTCAGAGGTCTAACAGGATGTGGCTTTCACATGCAGGTAAATATATATATACATAAATATTGTTGCGATTACGTATAAGGTCCAACCCACTCTTTAACGCCATGACAACACTACAACAATCAACCAGAAGCCAAGGTCTTCCACACTAACATCTCAAACACATGAGTGGACACCGCACACATAATGAAGACAAATGTGCCCGGCTCTCGGCGCTGGCACCGCTTGTCAAGAGCCTCGACACAGATATTTACAGAGGACACGTGCTCGCTTCACCCCCGCGCAGCTTTGACTTTCCTGGCCCACTTTACTTTACCCTCTTATTATTGCCAGGTGTACGTGACATGGACCCCCGCGTGGAAAACCCAAACCCTGTATCTGCTTTTTATGTCTCTGCTTTTGAAGGCGGCGGATCCAGATGGCGAGGTTATTCAAGGTGAGCGCAAAGGACACGTCAATTCCACGCCGCGGTTAATTGGCGATGGGCTGCGGCGCATGTTCTGTTATATTATTTCAAACCGCGGCTTGATCTCTCGCTGTCAATTACGAGCTAATGAGAATGCGCAGTGTGATATGTGGGGAAGTGGGAGAAGAGAGTGCTAATGATTCCAGAATTGACAGTTTCTGTAATGTAGTGTGGAGACAAAAGAGGTGCAAAACAGTACATGTGTCTATAGAGTAAGAATAGACCCTTTTCACAGGCAAATAACTTGGCAAGAACATATAGGAACAACGCAGGGTATGAACTTGATAGACTTTATGCTTAAAAACATATTATTAATCTTGGCACTAACAGTTCAATTTCATCACTATTTTTTGCATGAATGTCACATTGTTAGATCAACTTTCTGCTCTATCCAAAGAGTGAAAAAGTGACTCACATGCATCTTTCTTACAATGATGCCAAATGTAACATGTTTTCTAACAAGACGAACACAGCATGGTGTGGTCTGATTTGTTCGCAACATTTTACTTTTGCAAGACTCTTTCTGTTAGGTCCCAAACAGTATAGTAGCTTATCTAAAATTGGAGCAAACTCATGTATCATTCATAGGTCCTCTAGACCACAAACCACTTCAATTGCACACCCAATACACAGAGCACCAGGCCCTCCTGCAGGTGGTGAGTCCACAGGAGCCCTGGTTATTCAGCAGGGGCTTCAGGCAAAGAAGGGTTAAGTGTCTTGCCCAAGAACACAACGACAGAAGTCATCAGTGGGAGTCGTGAAGTAGGTCGTGGTGGGCTCGAACCCACGACCTACAGGCTCTAAGGCCGATGCTCTACCAACTGAGCCACTGTTGCCTCATAACAAAGTATAATCCTACAATAATACAGAATACTCTATGTGTTTGCATTACGTGAAACTGATATTCTTAAATAATGGGAAGCGCGTGCTGTAGAAATAGACCTGGGTAAAGGGAGCCTCAAGAAGTTTCTATGTCTCCCCCTGAAGCTCATGTAAAACTTTAGGTACATAAATGGTGGTCGTGACCGAAAGTAAAACTCGGAACTAATCAGACCACAACAGGCCATCTTCATTGTATTGCTTGAATTAAAAAAATAGAATGTTTTGCGAGCTAAATGGGCTCAGAATGGCATGACATGTTTCCTTCTTCCTCAGGGGTGTTATAATAATTGAGAAGCACTGTGCTAAATTAACAATTCATATAATTATTTGTCCCATGAATGCTTTCCTTTTACTTTTTTCAAACTAGTTGCATTTTGGCCCCAATGAAAAATACAAATGCTATTCCCACTCTAATCTACTCCAGCATGAAACAGAGGGAGTCCAAGCTTTAGTTAAATTGTATTAAATCAATATTGACATAAAACAATGTTCAAATATATGGTAATAGTGTGTTACCTATGAATCCATTGCTTTGTCAATTTCTACAATATATTTTTTTCATTTCGACATGTTCTAGGTCATTTACTTATAAGCTTTTAGCCCCATTACTTAGCAGGCACCCCCCTCCTTAATTTAAATTATAATTATCTAGATACTCAAGGTAGTGGTGCTAATTGTTTGTGGAGAACTAATTGATTTCGTTCAGAAAATAACTCTTGGTCTGGGTGCACACAGTTTGCCCGCCGGAGACTGGGCCTGGGCATTAATCGCACTACTGTGTCCCAAATCAATAGCCATCAGTGATGTTAAATTAAAACTAAATTGGAGAAATTCAGTTAATCACAGCAATGGAAAACAAGAGTAGTATTTTCTTAGGTCATACAGAACAGAATGCAACACAACCAAAGGACAAGGCGGTTTACTAACAACATTTGTCTATCTACTCTGGTGGGACTTCCTACAGCAGGGCCATTCCATTTGATTTTTCCCACGGAACAGGTTTTTAGGATGGTCTCAGGGCCACGCTACTACTTTACAAATAACACAATTGCAATTTCTTTCACTGAAGATTATTTGACAAATTTGTTATAAATTGCTTATGAATGGGGCGACAGTAGCTCAGTTGGTAGAGCATTGGCCTTGAGCCTGAAGGTCGTGGGTTCAAGCCCACCATAAGACCTACTTCACGACTCCCGCTGATGACTGCTGTCGTTGTGTCCTTAGGCAAGACACTTAACCCCACTTTGCCTGAAGCTCCCACTGAAAGATCTCAGCTCCTGTGGACTCACCACCTGCAGGAGGATCAGTGAGGGGCTGGTGCTCTGTGGACTGGGTGCATCTCTGGCCACCCCCCCGGCCCAGAAATGGATAAAGGGGGAGAAAATGGATGGATGGATGGATGCTTATGAATATTAACTTAATAGGATTTATTCTAAGATTATAGCCAGGATTAGGTTAGGTAAGGTAAGCTATAGTATGGTATGGTAAGAAAAGGTACACTTTTTTTGTCCCCTTGCCGATATTTGAACTCTGAAATTTTGACCTCTTCGACCCATCCTTCTATTGTTACATGGGCAACCCGTCAGGCGCAGTGGTCACTACAGTGCAGAGACCCATCCACCCAATGTATACACATGAACATAACTTATTTCACAATTATTTTGTCAACAAGTTGCCTAGAGACAGTTCAGCAACCAATCAAACCAATCATCAAATTCTTCGCGCAAAAAATCCAAAATGTCTGCCAGCCCTACCTTGCACGATGAGGTGGACCTTGGTGGACTTTGGCTTCTTGTTGGTGAGGATGGAGCAGACGTAGGGACCCTCATCATGAACATCCACGTTGAGGATTCTGATGCTGTACTCCGTCACGGCTGTGTTCTCCACCAGGACCACTCGAGGATCCAGGGACCATTTCTCGTTTCCCGCAAACAGAATGGTGGTGCGGTTCAGCCATGCCACGCGGGATACTTTGCTGTCCACGTTGCATCTAAGAAGAAAAGAAACAGATTGTACGTCAGCTGGGCGCTATAAAAGACAGCCATGGGAATTTCTACAAGGAGAGAGCAGGATCCCTAAACGTGGGACAGTCCGGGAAAGCAGACCGGGCAAGCTTTCTCCTGCCTGGTCATTGGTCAGTAGGATATGTTACCAACAGAGCTGATAACAAGCACAAACTACCCCAGGAAATGGCTCTTGTTAAAGCTAACTTGCACCCAAAATTTAAACTCAAGTTATTTCAATGTATTTGTGTATAGCCCTAAATCACATCAGCAGTCATTTTAGACGACTTTACAAGTTGTCCATTTGCCAACACCGATCAAAAAAACCAAACAGTTCAAACACAGCAAATGCAATGACAAAAAACACAGAGCCATGGATGACCAATGTTCATTTATGTTAATACATGTCCGTACACACGGAAGGAGGGATCCACTCCCACGGACAGATGGGCTGTAGATCCAGGATTCAGGCCATAGAATGAGGAGGCGGCGTGGGACAGGGGCGGCTTAACTGATGTGCGTGAATGTAAGTATGCACCAGAAAAATATATATTATGTATTTTTCATATACAAGTCACTATTTGGCACTTTGGGCTTAGAGCTGGTTTAACTGAGTGTCTTTTTATGTTTGAAAAACTGATCTAAAGATGTGACAGAGGCCAAAACTAGTGATAGAATCAAGAGAAAGGAACAAACTCTGAGATCTCCTGCTGATCTGTGTTAAAACTGTGGAAAAGGGGAGAAGACGGCTGCCATGTTGTGATCACTGAGATAAAAAAGTACTCCCTACCCTACTTTTTTTTTTTTCTATAGCTAAAGCAGTTTCATGGGGATTTATAAGTATTATTTTTGTTGTTGTTTTGAAGTTAGGTACTCCCTCTTTTAAAAACAATATTATTGCTTGGATGCATGTTCTTCATAAGGGCCTTTTACGTACTGTACAGGCCCCTGACAAAAAACTCAAAAATTCCCCTGCAAGCACGTCGGTAAAGTCCATCGCTTCTCTTTGAAAGCCGATGGATTGCTTGTCCGAAAGTGCAAACTGACCGACCAAAGCGATCGCTCCTCACCACAAATGAAAAACAAAAAATAAACACATTGTTATTGCAACTTCACTTCGCTCGTCATTTCACATTTTCTCCTCAACACCAACAATACCGTCAAACAAGCCTTCTCGGCGTCTCCAACTCCTCCACTTTAAACAACCCAGCCATTTGCGGTCATCTATAACTGCTGTCCAACTGGCTCTAACTGCTCAAAGCCCAGTTTTCTAGACAGATCAGTGAATGGTTTTTGCCCCGGAGAATCCTTTAGATTCAAATGCAGCAGGATGAAAAGAGGGGAAAGCTTTGGTCAGCGCTATGATAAACTATTCAAAAGGATTATTTTAGCAGCTTCCATTTGCAAAGTGCTAATGGGCTGTGTGCAACTTCTTCCGTTTTCTCCCCACGCTGAATCTTTGGGGAGACTTGCCTCTATGTTTGAGCCATTTTTGCAAGCACATGGTATATATAGACTTATTTGCTTGTTATTTCTGAAACAGGGAGAGGATATGACTGTGACTCCAAACATATATTGTATATTAGCTAAACAAAATAAGTGATTTGTTGTATAGGCCATAGAAAGCTAGGTTTATTTTTTTCTTAAATGATTGTACTCTACTCTTAAAGCTGGGGAACCTAACTTTTAAACCAGAAACAATGGAGTTCTTTAATGAAATGTATCTACTGTAACGAATTATTTGCTCTGAAAAGTTTTTGGGTTTGTGGTTTCCGTCTCAGCTTTTTCAGTTTTTCAGACAGTGAAAACACACCTCTACTGTAAGTCCAAAGGCAAGGCAAGGCAAGTTTATAAGTATAGCACAATTCATAAACAAGGCAACTCAAAGTGATGAACAAAACAAGATAGAAACAACTCAAAGCAATCAAAACATAAATAATCATCGTACATTAAAGAGTAAAGATAAAATCCCTCAGCTGTATGCACATCTAAACAACTCGTTTTAACCAGGATTTGTCAGAGAAAAAACCTTATTTAGGACGACTTCCAGATTTTAGATGCATGAATCTGAAACGCTGCCTGTGTCAAACAGTGACTCACAGGAGGCTCACAGACTCACATGTAACATAGGATAAAGAAAGTTATGGTCTGATTTGTCCATAACATTTTACTATATCCTGATCATCATCATCATTATCTATTGTTATATATAGTATATTTAATGCACTTGTATAAGACTCTTTCTGTTGCAACAAACACAATGGATTATTTAGGAATTAAACATGTTAGACGACCTTGCTTTAATCAGTCTGTCACCATACTGGAAATACAAAACTAATCTTCCTTTATAGTTTTTAATGAACTGTAATTATATTTCCATCCCTGGATATTAGTCAGAAGATATCCATCATTTCATTTGGCGTTTCGGTTTTTGGGACACAGAATTCAAAATCATTTCAACATATTACGAGACATTCAAGGACATCTTGTTTACTCTTGTTAGCTCACTACAAACAGCTGTCGTACATAGAAACACGCATTGGATACATTTTGATTACCACAATCTCATTGATGTGTACAAAGCATTAGTGGAAACTGGATCATACTGTCCAATTTAAATCAATTGAACAAGATGCTCTGTGAAAACCAAAAAAGTGTTCAAAACCATTTCTACCGGAAGATTTCATAACACTTTTAACTTTTGTTAAAGTTAAACTCATCATTCTATCAATGTGCAGAAGCCAGTACTTTTCCCTTGTTTTGTCTATCTGAAGGCCAAGCTACAAGCACACTGTGGCAGCTGCTGATTGGAGGTCTCCATGCCTCCGCTCTGAATAATACACTTGCATTCTGTTGTTCGTGTTGTTCATGCTGTCTCTACCATCGACAATAAAACATGTCTTCTGTCTGAATGAAAGACGCGATCCCAGACTTTGTCATCTTCTTCACTACTTTATATTGTGTTATTGCTGTAATTTAAAGTCAATCCTGACAAAATCACAAACACAAAAGACAAAGTTCAGCATTTTTAATACTTGGTTTCCTTCCAAGGAGAAGTGATTTCCAAACCAGGGACACAGCAGAAAGTGCTGCTCTCTCTTTGGTTCCAAAATCAGATCTCCCTCAGATCAGGCGGCAAACTCCTTTTAAAGAACAAGACACCTTCATATGCATACAGGACAGGAAGAGCCAACACAACAAAAGGACAGTGAGACACATTAGCATCCTCGAAACCTGCTTCCTCCTGGCATCTGCATACAACCCCCAAGCACTCTGAAGTCAACAGTGGATTACAATACAAACAGTATAGAATTCAGCCACATATGATTTATCAAAATGATAACTTAAGTTACATTCCAATATCATATTGTTTGTACTAGCTTGTGACCACGTACACTGGATACTACGGAGACGAACACCAGCATATACTGTATATTTAAGAGCACAGGGAAAAAACAAATGCTTATAATAGTAATATCTGTTTGGGCGCATGTAGGCAACTCATAAAATTAGATCTTTGTAATTAGTATGCACATGTTTCGTAGTTTTACTTTGGTTTGGTGCGAGTAAAAGTTGTGGCTGCAGTGTATTGTGTGAAAATCAAATTCTCAAAGTGACCAAGATGTTGCATGAATTTATTATCATTCATCATTTTATATTTAACTTCTCTTTCACAAGGACCAGATTTACCGGGACGCCATGTACAACTGTGCTGGACATTTTCACACTGCATCTTTAATCACTGCTTGGTGTTGAACACATTTTCAATTCGATATGTCAACCCCCGGATTGAAACCACAGTTAACCCATAATTATACTTTGATGAGACTGTACCAACCAAGAATAACCCAGAATGAAAGTAAAACACTTTTTGTAACTAACTAATTTGTAAGCTGGTCAGTGAGCTGGAATTTATTGTCTGGTGGTGACATGGACTCTCAAATATTGCAGAAAGAAAGTCTTCCCTATCTGAGCCAAAGCAATTTCCAACTCTGTGACTTCCTGTTACTTACTTACGTGATTCTGATTTGTTTTGATATTGCTATTTCAATTTATTTTAGCTCAATACTGAGACTATTCCATGATGGTCCTCATTTTAAAATGTAGTTGTAATGATCAAGTTAATAGTTTAGTCCTTGCTTTAAATCTAGTTTGTACAGTGTTAAATGTCACAAGATTGTCCAATTTGGGGACATATAGTTTAAATGATTTATTATTTACAATCCTCCAGCTCTGGTCCTGACCAAGCCGAGCATCAACATCTGGAGAATCCCCGGCGATGTTACTACGGCGACCACTGCTCCTGACGTAAGCCTTAGCGTCATCAGGATGGGTCAAATGCAGAGGATGAATTTCCCTATGGGGATAAATAAAGTGCACCTTTAATTATTGTTTCAAAGTTTGAGTGCAAAGGCAAAATTATGAAGCACCTTTAAGAGCGCCACGAAGATCATTCTGATCAGTGGAGCTCAAGTCAACTCGTGATGGCATTTGATGGCGACCTTTGTGGATTTGGCATGGAGAGGTTGTGGACAATTGGGCTGAGCAGTATATAAATTGCGTTTTGTTTCATTCGAGGACGTATTTGAATATGTTAATTATTATCAAATTAACGTTTACTTTCTGTAAAGTTCTATTTTGTTGAGAGCTTTTTGTTTACGGGCAATCCACTTTTAATATAAAAAAATCATTTTCATTTTGTGTTGCTTTCCATGGTCCCTGACATGAGCGTGGAACCCTGACCCAGACATCTGAACCATGTGTGTCTATATGTGTCTTTTATTTTGTTCTGTGAAATAGACCAATGGCTCTTGTGTGTTTAATTTTCTGGTCTCTTGGTGAGGAATCAACCACTTCAAGACAACAGCTGCTTTGATGTAGGGCTGTACAAAAATGTTTAAAATCACTACGAGTATAGATTATTTTGCAGCAGCTGAACCAAAGCCACAGCCGGCTTCGACTCGATATTGAGCTGCCTAAGAACTTTTACAAGATCATTATTAAAATATTGCTTTTTTCTCTCTTTCTCTCTCTCACCCCGATCCATTGCCCTTTCAGCGTGTGTCCTCGACCTTTAAGAGAAAATTGACCTTAAAAGAACTTAATTGGAGGGCTATATTTCAACAGGCAGGATTTAATCAGCTCGGACATGGTTTCAGCGCTTTGGGCAAGTACTCTCCATTATGGTTCATTATCAACAATTAGCAATGAAAAGTGGAGTTCACAGATTTTGAAGAGAAAATAAGGAAACACTGAGCATACAAATGTGCTTTTATATTAGCGCCAAATTAACAATGACCACACGACGAGTCACAAAACATGACATTTAAGATTTTGACTTAAATACCCTTGTGGAAAAAGGTAAGATAAGATAAGATAAAACTGTATTGATCTCATAATGGAGAAATTTACAATACTAATAATAGTTGAAGTTTGTGAAGAAAATGTTGGAGGGGAAAATAGTTTACATTTACGTCAGCGGTAGAGGATCACATCGCATTAATGATCATAGTGTCATAATGTCCCTGTTCTGTATGTCCCTTGATATGGTTTGTAAAGGCATTGGACAAAGCAAAAAGCTTATATTAATACAATCCTCTCCAAAAAAAATTTATGCGTGCTTTTGTTATTGCTTTTTGACTTTTGACTATTTAACATATTAGAAATGACTTTAATTGTCTAATAAAGGCCACTCTTTTGTATATGTTTTAATTAGTGAGATGTTTTTTTTTTTTTTTACAGTGAATATGATTATTGTGAGCAGTGGAAATAACCTAAGATTCAAAGTTTGGGCTGTGACCTTGATCTTATAGTTGTGATTACAGATTGAAGTCCAGTAATCATCAGTGAGGTTGATTTCAGATACGTGCCCGTGGTAGAAGCCTGGGACATGCATGACGCACACTGGCCAGGCAATCATCAGCCCAATATGACTATATACTCTTGACGTGGCTAGATTAATCTAAACCATGCTCAGATTGCAACTAAAAGAGACTTTTGCAAATGAAATTAAGTTGTAAAAAATTGACCTATACAAAATAACACTTTCTGCGAGTAAATGGAATTTTCTCATCGTGGAGACAGAAGCAGAAATCACAGTCAGTCCTGGATTGTGTATTTAAACAAGGATTCTACCAGCTTTGTAATGTGGTTCCTTCACAGCTCAGCCTGCAGTGAAACACACTCTGCATGCTCCTGATCTCACACTGTGTACACTCCACAGTCCATGTTTTACCAAAGCCTCCTGCTAAAGAGCATTCTAGTGTTGTCTGACATTCACTTGACGGTTGTGCGCTGTCTAAACTGTTAAGGCCAGGAACCCCAGTAAAGGGAGGGATTTTGAGTGGCATCTACTGTTGGGAAAATAAAAAAATATATATAAAAATCCTACTGCTACTACTGTAGTTGCATATAGTAATTACAAACAAAGATGAAGCTAGCAGCAGACTGTGTTCATTAGCACTGCTTTTCTCAGTGCTCCCACTACTTTTACAATCAGTCAATCACACTCAGCTGACAGCTCTGAGCGGCCAATCTTCTCCTGGCAGCACTTAAACACTGCTCTGCATAGTCATTTATATTGTGCAGCAACCCTCCTCCTCCCCATCACAGCCTCACCATCGTGACCATCTCTTCAGCTCATAGCAACCACCACCAGAGTTTCTATTTAGATTTCCCCTTCTGCATTTGTCATGCTGTGCTCTGCTGGGGACAAAGCTCCAAATTATAACCACATTTCTTGTACAGCAGGCAATAAAAATTATTCATACATTTAACGTCTGCTGAGACTTATGTGCTAAGCATGCAGTAACAGATTACTATTCATAAACAATGAGCATCACTCTTATAACCCCTGTTTGTCTGTTGAGTCTCTCCAGATTGAAACAACATTTGCAAAGCACTTGAAAAAGCCGGATCACTCACAGACACTTGGGATTGTCAAGAGTGAAAATCCAGTCCGTTTGCAAAAATTCTTTATTCTTTATTAACCCAATAATTTATATTGATTTAATATTGTTGTACTATAATGAACAGCCCAACTGTCTCACTAGCTTCTTAGCACAAGCCCTTCTTGTTTCGTACCTCTCTTCTGTTTGTTACCAAAACCTATGCCGGCGTTTTTCAACCACTGTCTTCAGGACCGTCTCCCCAGCCGCACGGAGCAAAAAAAACAGGAAGAGGGGCTAGTAAATGAAACACTTTACAATATCCAATATTTTTTTCCAAATGAATCCATATAAATTGTGGGTTCTGCATTAAGAATCAACCCGATTATGACAGACTCGGCATGGCAGTAGCTCTGGTCTTATATATATTTCACAGTATTTCCTCCAATTTGAGTCTTATAGATTTTTTTAACACCACACAAAAGTACTCTTTGTATCACCTTCAAACCTGAAAACCTAAAGCTGCCCCTACAGGCATATACTGTATGCATGCACTGCACTAGTATGTTTTAATTAATTCAATGCTCCAACCATCTCTTTTCAGAATCTTACAATCTGTAGTACACAAAACCTACACAAAGCCTGTGTATTTGGTTCATTTGCCTTCCCCGGTGTCGTACAACATCCTCCCCCCATGCTGTAAATGTCCGTCTTTGCAGGACCACTCCCTGTGCCTCGTCCCCTTAAACACCCGCCACCCCAGGGCCTGCTCTGCTGTTTGTGGAGATGTGTCTTTGTGATTGGTGTGGATAAAGCGTCCGCACATTCACACAGCTCCTGCAAGGCTTCAATAGCACCTCTGTTCGCCGCGCACACCGAGAGGAATCAATCATCCGCCAGGAAGAGATACCAATTTCTCCATAGACGGGAGCCTTGCCGGACCGGGATTTAATGCACGCGCACAATACCGGCCAACAAAGTGCCTGTCAGTGGAATTTGTAACGCCTATTTTCAGTATAAAGAGAAATAAACGCAGAGTATTTTTCTTCTGTTATTGTTTGTTTGTGCATGGACCGTGTGTGGTGCTGCCGGTGCATAGACATGAATGGTCAACGTTTCCAACTTATATTCTCTTAAAAGCACTGCTGCTTTTTCAGCCATATACCTTATTTACTCATAAAATTGTCTAGTAGTAGTGACAATATTCAAAAGCCAAATGCATGATGTAGGCCAGTAGAAAGAAATATCTATGTAAGGATATATGAATAAGATGGAGGGTTTGTGAATCTGATTACTATCAAATAGTGATCTGAGAAAAAAAAATCAAATCTGTTACTGTAATATTTATTTAAAATGGCTTGTAAATCGTGAACATCCCTACAAATGAAATATTTGAAAAACGTGAAAACCAACCTATTCACATCTTGGTTTTAGATCAATGTTGTTTCCATTTTTTTTTTTTTTTGCTTTCTTTTTGCATTTGCAACTTCCACTATTATTCTTAAAAAAAACAAGACTGCCAAAACAACTTAATTCAAACATGTATTCATCAGTGTTAATCTTAAATAAAATAAAAAATGTAATTACCAAAAGCAATTTTAATATACAACATACAAGCTTACAATTTTTTTTTTTTTGGTTCAGACTTTCTTTTATTTTGGTTTCTACCCCGGAGTGTTGTGTTTATATGCATTTTTCATTTATGTTTGTAAAAATTTACCAAAAACTCATACAAAGTCCCACCATCGCCCACATCACCGGACCTCCTGCTGTATACCCCAAAATAACGCCACACAGCCGTGCCCAGGCTCCATCATATTTGGAGCGTCTAGGGCAGGTGTGCTACTTTTATCCCACCTTCCATTGGGGCTTCTACAGAGACATCTGCTTTAACAAGCTCCTTCATGCGGGCTCTTTGGTTGATCATTCTGACAGCACTGTTCCCCCCGACCAAGACACCTCGCTGACAAGGTGAGCGCATTAGATCTCAAAACCTTTATCATACGCGCGACAGGCCTTCAAATTGGCTGCACTTGTCGAAGCCGGTGGTGGGGGGGCCGACTGTCACTATGTCTGAATAGCTCCCAGGAATGGCGAGTTGGGAGGGTGGGTGGTGGATGGAGGCCGCTGATGAGGCTTCAAACTGGGTGTCAAATGAAGCTCTTGATGTGGGATGCGCGCCGGGCTATCATTGGTGACTGATAGAGCGTTAATATGACAATGTTCTATTTGTCATCTGCGATCACAGCGCACGGTGTCGGTCCCCGCATCCCTAAGGCTACTGTTAATGTTCAATTTCTTTCTTTCCTATCACTAAACCAAATGGGAGTGGTTGTGTTAATATGTCAGTGTTGTGAATCTATCTTGTGAAGCAATGGTGCGGTGGGAGTTATGGCTCGGAATAGTGCGAACGCTGTGATGTCATAAGAGACTCATTACCCATTAACCAGTATGAAAAAAAAAATAACCTCAACACCTGATGCACCAGGACTATACATAGTTAAAGTGTGAATGCTAGACTTGACTAGAAACTGTGACCACTTGACAATGGCATGAACGAATATCACCAAGTCATCAACGGTCCAGGATTGATATCAAAGAAATTCATCCAGGATAAAGATTTCATCCTCTACAGTATGTGCTTCTGCATACTGTATAGAAGAACGTTAAAAAAAATTTGACAACAAACTGGGCGGGGCCGTAGAGGAGGCAAAAATCCTGCGGTCGTTTTTTTAGGTCCCAGTCCAGCCCTGGTAGGGCCTGCTGGCGGAGATGATTAAGGCTGGATAAATGCACTCTTTAGTCCATTTTAAATTGTATTGGCCATAATTGTATTGGCCATAATTGTATTGGCCATAATTGTATTGCGTAGGAAATGAGACTTGGACTTGACTTGGACTCCTGGGCTAGGGACTTGGACTTGGACTTGGACTTGACTTGTACTTGCGGGTCAGAGACTTGTGTGCATCTCTGGGGCAGTGCTTCTGAACTATTTTTGCCAGGCCCCCCTTAGAATATCCCCAGAAAATTCGCCCTCAGCCCGATAAGTAAAATCATTACTCATAAGCTCTAAAGTATGCAAAAAAAACACACACAACCAACATGTATTGTTAATGAAAGGAAAAGTGTATGTAACCCATCTTTAATTGTGTGAGTATTAGTTGTGCTTCAGGAGGAGACACAGGAAGGACATGGACACTTCCTGAGGCTCCCATTGTCAAGGTCTGTTTTGTGCATCGACATGTTTATCGCGTGCGCAAAGACACGCACTTGGAATGGGCTGTGCTGGTCACATTATGGCTATGCACTTTCCACGCTGTTGTCAAATCCACTGTTATTCACTACACTATTTGACTAGTACTGGGTTAGGGCTAGAGTATGTAGTAAATGAAATGAAGCCATTAGCTACAATTTCTTAGACACATTTAGATACCTTACAGAAATCCACTGCCACTCCACTGCTCAGATCCCTGGAGGTCTCTACCCACATCTGACAATTTACCTGCTGCGTACTGTTAGTCCACACCACTGCACATCGACTTGACCCCGGTCCATCAAAGTGTCCAGTTGCATCCAGTCACACAAACCTTCCATTCACTACACGCAACTGACAGCACCACCGATCAGAAAACCTTACGTGAAAAAGCCCTTCCACTCGTTACCCATAACTTTCTTAACACACTTAAGGGGAATAACTGACTACGGCACAAACCAAGAGCTCTATTGATGACAGAATCTAGCGTTCAGCTTGGTTTCACAGCCAATGCAGAGGCAAAGGATCCAGAAGCTAAAATTCCCAATCAAAATCCACATAGGGATTTAGAAAGTATGGTAAATATGTTTGATCAGGTATTGAGTAATGACTAAAAGACCAACAATAATGTTAGGACTGTTCTATTATTGAAATAGTTGTCAATAAATGTAATCGTTTTTTAATCTCACATAGACTGAGAAGAGGTTTTTGGACAAATGCATGCGTTATATGTTGTTTAATTAAGATACTTCATGAACACTACATGGTCATATGGTCAAACATTTATTCCTATATATCACCTTTAATGGATAGATTATGAATTTATTTTTTAAACTGTAGTTTCATAGTATTTACTGTGAGTAGTTGCCAGGTTGATAGTTAGTCCCTGCCATGTCTTCAAACTATTGCTTTTGATATTTTTCAAAACTCCTTGTGTTACATCATTATAGATCAATGTTGGAAATATATACGTGCAAATCTATGATCTGCACGTCACATAGAGAAGCCGAGAATAGCACAATCTGATATTTTGTAATAATCTGTTGTGCCAAAAAGAGAGAAAAAAAAAATCTTAATATGCATTCCACAAACCATTTCAGTTGTATTCATCTGTGTGGCTCTCACAGAAATACATTTTAAAACGCATTAACTTTTCAGCTCACTCAGCTTCCCGACCACTGCTGCAAACTGTCACCAAACGTCAAGCCTACATTTTCTGTTTTAAAAGATTTGCCACCATCAAAGTGAGAGATCGTGCTTTCTGTTCTTTCTTTTTCTTCCTTCTCAACAACATAAGCAACTCTTTTAGATCTCAAAGTCTGGCGAAATACCCCGAATGGCAATAGCACGCACACTGTCAACTCAAAAGTCTTTATTTTCCGAGACTCCTTTTTATTTTGTATTCAGTGCTGCGTGTCACATTAATATTTCAGGTAACAGGCACACACACACACACACACACACACAAATGTCTTGGAATGGGTTGCTATCTCAGCGTCATTCAATAAAGCAATACATCTCCTGCGCAGCCCTTGCCGTTGGGAAGCGAAGGCTAAAAAAGGCAGGGAAATAGCAGCGTGAGAGAGACAGTGGTATGATCCAGTTTGCAGAGAGACAGGGCCCCGGAGGTACAGAACTACACAGGAGCCCTTGCCATGAGTGGATAAAAATACTCAATACAGCTGCTGTGCCACCCACCAGCACCCACCAGCACCCGTGTTTCAATACAACAGCCTCCAGGACACAGTAAGGAGGCTGTTTGGGGAATATGTGATCGCTGTGGCCTCCGAAGGAAATGTGAAAACTATATTAGTCCAGGTATGAAGAGATAATAAGTAAAAAGTTGACATGGTGGAGGTTGATGAGGCCAGCGGTGAGTAAGTAAGAAAGTCAACTTTATTTATAAGTGCATTTTACAGATGAATATGACGCATACCTGCATGTGAAAGCAAGATCTTGTCAGACCTCTAAAGCTAAGCAGGACAAGGGCCTGGTTAGTACTGTGATGGGAGACCTCTGGGACGCGCACCACAATGGGGCGGCTGCAGTTGCGTCCTTAGGCGAGACACCTCACCTACTATGGCTGTGGTGTGTGAGCGAATGGTTGGTGGTGGTCAGAGGGGCCAATGGCACATACTGGTTGTAGTGGATAGATAATGTCATGCAAAGCATCTTCGATTGTCCAAACATATTATTTTCTGTATTGCTTTCACCCCACTCACGATGACATCCGCTGTCATTCACTTGCAGTGTGAATGCTTGCATATTTTAAAATCGGATGAAAACATATCTGATCAGATAAACAGCAGCTTTTAGTGTCAGTTTAGAAAGTAGGTATCTGACACTCACTCAATACATTTCTACCTATTGTCCATGTTTTTAGTGGAAGGGGAAACTGGAGCATACATAGGGAGAACATGCAAACTCCATGCAGAAAGACCCCATCTGGAGGTGGAATTGAACTCAGGACCTTCTTGCCGGGAAGCACAGCACATCGTTTTGAGCTATACAAAGAGCAGGTTGCATGTCTACATTGTCGGATCTGATAATGGCACCTATCACTTGGGTCCAAATATCTACTTTCTAAACTGACACTGAAAGCTGCTGTTTATCTGATCAGATATATTTTTATCAGATTTTAAAATATGCAAGCATTCACACTGCAAGTGAATGACAGTGGAGAAGCGAATAAATGTCGCACATTTCTGGCTAAAATAGAAATCTTTCACACCGAAGGCTTTTGCGATTAGATAAATGAATGTATTTTGTGCACTTAATAACAATGATGAGCCCTTAATGTTTCTTACAGCCTTTACTTAAAAGCCGTTTTTCTAAAAGATTTTGTCTTGGCCCTCTTATAGTGTGATGTAATTGTACCACTGTGACCTCACACTCAGTTCTGCCTTTTAAAGCAAAATAATTGCCCACGTATTAGCTTGAGTAATTAAGTAAGTGAAATTAAACAATATCTAAACTCTGAACATTGTAAAGTGCTTTGGGTGACCTTTGGGTGAACCAGTAATTTACACATTTAATAAAAAAAAAAAAAATAACTCTTCTCTCTGGTGTTAGCATAAAAGCATAGACAGTAAGCGGAAATAATGTAAAAACCTTTTATTTTTTGTTTCACCATCATTTTCTACTTGAATTATAATTTAACATGATCATTGAGTGAATAGTTGGTGCATACTCTTTACCTCAGTTCTGACAGTGTGCCCCAGGGCAGCTGTGGCCACAGTAGAAGTTTATGAATAATGACATGTGAAGCGTCTTTGCGTGTCCAATAAACCACTATATAAAACCAATGCATGAATATTATTAAAACATGAAATTACAAAGCCTCATTATCCCATTTAATGTACAAAAAATACATACTAACCTAAAAAAAGAACCTCAGTGTCAGACGTAATTCCTGCCATAGTTCTATTTACATTCTGCTTGTATGAGAAAGCAGGTCACCTCTCTGCAGCCTTTGACAGCAGCCCAGCTCTGAGAAGCAGCATGTAACCAAAGCTTAACCGCAGCAGAAGGCTGTGACACAAAGTGAACGCCCTCGGTAAAGATCGACACGCTACGCTGCCCCAAATGTCAGCACCTATGAAAATTCCCATTTACTCTGGGCCTTTACGCCAAGTGTGAAATTAGCATATCTTTAGCATTCTCTTGGAAAACCGCCCAGAAATTTGTGTCACAGAAAAAGAAGGTTATACTGTAGGACAAGCGCGCCGGCCCAACACCAGTGACAAAAGATTCATATTAAAGACAGATTATTGTTTTGGACCAGCTCAATGGGGGGGCCCCTCCACACCGGCCGGGACCACACTGGATGAACGGCATTACTCATACTGTCATTTTCCAGGGCCAGTGGACGGGTCAGCGGAGACAGGCGCATGGGGAATCTGCCTCCATCACAGCGCTCCATCAAAGTCCCGTCGCGGATCAAGAGCGTCCCGCCGGGAGGAGTGTGACGGACATTTTAAATAGGGAATATTGAGCGCTTAGCTACTGTCGACCTCGCGGTTTTGATCACACTTAATTATAGTGATTGAGTGGTGAGCAATTTGAATTTGGCTTCAGCCGGCTAAATAGTTTGTAACATGTTTTTTTTTTTTCTTCCTCAAAAGGCGGATACCTAATTTACATCTAAATGGGTTTGTAACACGTTTTCAGATATTGTCAAGGATGAAGAACGATAAATCACACCAGCCACTATTTGCTACAGTTTGAGAATGATGAAATATAGCTGTTTGGAGAATACTGTTTGTGGATTAGATTTGTTTTCATTTTTAAATAATGGATCAGGCTTGAGTAGGTTTGACATCAATGGTATCCGGACATGTCGGCCTGCGCAATAATGTAAGTAAGTAAGTCTTCTTTATTCATACAGCGCCTTTCACGGGCACAAAGAACTGTTCAATTGTTGTGGGAATGTGTCCTCTTACTCCACACATGGGAGCTGGGTTGCCATTCAGGAGGTGCATGCCAGACATAGGGGAAGGGGAAACTAGAGCACCTGGAGGAAACCTTCGCAGACACAGAGAGAACATGTAAACTCCACACAGAAAAGGTCTAAAGGTGGAATCAAACCCTCTAACCACTGCACCGCTCCAATATAATTAGAATATTACATTAGTGCTTACTGTATAAATAAATCACTTTTGAACATTATAACAAAGCAATTACTCTTACTCGTCATATTTCATCACTGTAATATGAATAAGACAGTGTTCATTATTTACAATGACTAAAATACCACCTAAAATGTACAAAAGAATGGTTATTACATTGTTTATTGTTGGTGATCTCAATGGTTTTGTTAAATCCTCTGAGATGACTGCTGTTGGGCTTACAAGAATAAATTGTTGTTGTTGTTGTTTACATGTTTTTAAAAAAATCTGATATTTGTAAAATAATACACATTTCTTTATATTGATTTATACAAAAATAATTAGACGAAAAAAATAAATGTATATCAATACATAAATGTTACTTTATATATTTAGATTGGATCATGGACTCAGCACCTGCAGGAGGATCAGTGAGGGGCTGGTGCTCTGTGTACTGGGTGCAGCTCTGGGTACCCCCCTGACCCAGAAATGGATTAAGGGGAAGAAAATGGATGGATGGATCACATTAGATTAAAATGTTGTCATATATTGTCATTACAATACTTCAATATACTATCAAGTCAGAACAATGCAACAACATTAAGTTTTAGCATCTAACCAAAAGTGCGATGCAAATGCAGAACAGAGTATAATGTGTGGGTGCATTTTAAAGATAAACTCGTCCACCTTTGTGTGCACGCATAACGAATACACAAAAAAATATATACTTATAACATTAAAAAATGTGAAAGAGTTCAAGTCGTTATTCAGTAAACCACTGTGTATCCACTATTCTCTACAATACAGATCCATATAAAATAACAATAAATCATCAAGTTTGTTTCAGGTGAATAGATTATTCTTCCACAAACGCTGCATTTTGACTCAGAACTTGGTGCATTAAGCAAATGCCCTGTTTACTTGATCTTCACAAATGCACTTGTAAAAGTAGCTGTGGAAAAACCCAGAAAACAAGTGAAATGGCAGAAGTCTCGCCTCAGTTTGAGTGAATAAAATATTATAGAGAGAAAGACTTTGACATTTAATAAAAAGTCTATTAATGTGCGGACGGGTCTCCATCTGTTATCAGCAGAGACCGCCCGTGTGAAGGTCAGAGATCGAATGGAAACTCGTAATGGCAAAGTGAATTATCTTTCAAAGGATTGTACTGTATATGAAACTATTCAGATCGTCTTATTACTTTTTTCTAGTTTGTTGTTCATTCACATGCAGGTTTGACAAAGCTATTTTGTCTCTGGAAACGTGTCTGTCGGTTCTGATTTGACAAGGATATACAGATAAAATGTACAAACATGATGAACTAAATACAATTAATTAAATGTATTCAAACAACATCATTCACACCAAATAATGTCTTCAATTCAATAAAGAAATCACCTGAAAGTTAGTTTGCAAAACCAGTTCAGCGTTGTTTGAGAAATAGACTTACATTTGTACCTTTACCATGCAGATATATATATTAGTGCAATAAAAATACAGTTTCACCCTTTCTTGAGAAAATACTTTCCAATTCACCACAAAAAACTCAAGATATTGAAGAATGTTTCAAAAATGGAGACATCTGTTTTTGCAAATCAACTCATGTGTTTTTTGCTATGAACATTCTTACTTTTTAAATAAGAACTGCTTCTATTGCCGATGCATCTTGTTTACCACTAATCATGCTGTACGTTTTAATCCACAAAAACATGTGGGAAAAATATGTTTTGGATGATAACATAAATGTACACGGATAAAGGATAACGGAATAAACTTTACACAATAATGGCATGTCCTCCAATCCCATCAGGAACAAAACACAAATTCACTTATTTGTTTTTTTCTTTGACTGTATATCATTTCACTTTGCAGCTTTATTACAGAACATATATTTGAAGAAGGTTTACAGCTTGTTGCTTGTAATGGACAGTGTTTTATTTGAGATGTGCTGGTATATACACATTGCACCATGTCATTCAACATTTACGATGTTTTTAGATTTACGCTTAGGATTGGCCCTGAAGGGAGGCTTCCATCTCTGCACCAGGGCCTGTGGCTGCAGTTCTTTGGCCCTGCGTGGGAATCCCTCATTAGAAGTGCACTGCAGATGTAATGCATGAGGTTGTAATTGCTCCACTCAGTACTTGTAAAATGTTCACCATCTGCTCCAATGACACCTCCTAAACATGACAACTCTCTTTTTAACTTCATGCATCTGTCACACGGGCTGTCGCCTCTGCCAAACCACCGGCGGAAGAAAAACAACATATTATAATGTTTTAAAATATTGTTATGTTGTTGCACTTTTTGTGTGCAATGTCTATTGTAATTACGAATGAACGTTTTACACTGTTCAGACCTCAGTTGCTAATGAAAACATGAAATAAACAAAAAAATACATACAATATTGATTTAAAATTGACATAATTGAAATAATTTAGTTCTGTCTATCATTGTGAATAGTAATTTACATGTACATAAGATTAGTATTTCCCTGTGTAAAACAATAAATCAATATATTTATTAATGTACTTAAGGTTGTTACTTTTCTATAAACAGGTATAAATACTGATTAATACTTAAAGTAGAATATTTTTACAATTTAATCTAAAACAACACACATTGCAGACATTGTGCAAAATAGACAGTCAACAATCTTGTTTCTATTCACAAATATCCAGGCTGTGAAACTGTACTCTCTAACATGGGCAGTATGTCTCCCAGACGACCACACAGTGAGGTGTAATAATATGCAATGAATACACAAGTATGGCCATAAATTATTCTCAATTGTGCAACCAGAACTCAAGGTTAGTCGCCTCCGATGGTGGGGGGGAGATTGGTGCTGTGGCCTTGTCAAAGTGAATCAAAGGGGGCAGACGACTGGTGGGCAGCCCCTGAGATATTTCAAGCATCCGCTGCAGAGGGCATTTATGTGGTATTACCGTTGACTCATACTTTTAAAAGTACGTAAGTGCAGCCACTGTTTGCTCATTTCAATATTTGCGAGTCAATTGGTCGCTGCATTATTGTCACTTAGACTCGGCAGGCTTTTAGAATGGTAGAGAATTATACGTACTGACATATGACAGCTATATCTCACATATTGTTGTTATTTTTTTGATTTATTCTGTGATTAGTCAACAAAAAAACAATGAATGAAACAAAGGTGTTGAGGTGGTGATGGGGAGGAGGAGAGCTGTGGTAAAGCTGCGATTCAGACTGGAGGATAGGTGTGTAAACTTCTACACAGGGTCATTTGAGTAGTTTCTTTTGTCAAGATAATTTGAACTCAGAAAACGATTAATAAATAGTTAAAGTTAGTTTTTTTTTTGCCTCAGAGTGTAAACCTTGAAGCACAACTCTATGGATCAGTTCTTATGTAAATTTAATGGGATTCACTTTTTGGAGTATCATAAGCCACTTCTGAGCTGTTTGAGACAGAAAAACGGCAACAATGTAAAAACGTATAGTTTTGTCAAAGGGCTCCAACTGTAAACTGAGTTGATGGACTTCACCAATGTCTATAACCGGTCCTCAATGGCCCAGTGTGGCTGCAAGTCTGGGTAACTTTATGAAATGGCTGGAGTCTGGTGTGCTTCTGCTTGGTTGGAATTAAAACCTGCACCCACACCTGCAAGAAAATATTACGTAAAAACCCCTTAACCAAACCAACTTACTGAAATAGAACTCCTGTAAAACTCTGCCAAAAGTAATCGCCTTACAAAAGCAGAGCGATGGCAACTAGAGCGTGGGAATAAATATGAGAGATGATGCAGCCTGAGCGCTCTCCCGTACTAAGTGTGATGGCGTGCACCCAGATCGCCACGTCAACGACAGAACCAGTGTCTCCATATTCATGAAAACATATAGGCTCCGTAATGACATGGACGAGCAGAGAGCACATCGAAGACAGATCTTCAAACCCGAGTCAGAGCAAGTAAACAACAGCGATATTCAGAGGAGAAGGCATCAAAGTGAGGCTGGGGCAGAGGTGGCATTAGCTTCAGTCAGGAGATACAGTTTGACACTTTGGTATAAGAGTCTTAAAGCTGGGGAGCGTAACTTCTTGTGTCATGCATGTCGTTTGTTCCAATAGAAAGAGCAAACAAAGAGACCACAATATGTCATCTTCATCTTAATAAAACATATATATTTGTATGAAATAACCCAGAGATAACTATTTCATGTTATTGGCCAGGATCTTATTGCCTGAGTGAGAATGGTTCTCTTCTCAGGTCAGGGGCTGGTAAAAAAATACAAAAACTGCCAAACGTCAAAATTCACATTTGAGTTCTGATCCTGCCAGAGTTTTTAAAGTCTAGTTCCTAGTTCCTCCTGGAGTCTCAAAGTGTAGGTCA